AAATTGAATCAAGAATGGGTCAGCACGGCAAAGGCCACGGGTTTAGAGCCTTCAGTTACTTCTCGACTTAAGAACGAACATCCGATTTGCCCTGCCCTTTACTCGCTTATTAAAACACATAAGCTTACTTCAACTGATGATATACCGTCAACGAACCCATCATTATATAAAGTCAGACTTATCAACAGTTGTATAGGCGAGACAACGGATAGAATAACGTGGTTTCTAAGCCTTATCCTAACCCAGCTATTAAAATTCATTCCAACCCATCTACCCAACACCAAAATATTTCTAGATCACCTAAGGCGCGCGCAACCAAACAGCACGCATATAATGGAGCCATTCGATGTTACTTCACTTTATACCAACGTGTCCAATGACTCCGCAATGCAAGCCATTCTCGAGTTGCTCGTAGAGCATGAAAAGAAAGTAAAAATGCACGGTTTGTCGATTGCGCAACTAATAACCCTCTTAAAACAGTGTCTTAGTTGTTCAATCTTTAGGTGGTCTTGAAAATATTTTGCACAGATTAGAGGGTTGGCGATGGGGCAGCGTTTAGCACCAAGCCTTGCCATCGCTTTCATGTCTAAGGTGGAAGCTCCAGTTCTCGATCACCGACCCTTACTCTACTGTCGATACATAGACGACTGCTTCGTCGTCTGTTCCACACAAGAACAGATGGATGAGTGCTTCGAATTATTAAACCGACAGTCAGGGTATATAAAATTTACACGAGAAAAACCTACCGAGGACTCGCTTCCATTCTTAAACATCCAAAAAAGCTCTCAGTAAGTGGCTATGTAACAAAATGGTATCGCAAACCAAGTAAAAACATTCTAGTTCACTGCCTTTCCTCTCATCCTTCACACATGAAAAAAGCACTTATCAAAAACATGTACCGTACGGCTAAAAATGTGTGTACAGGGGAAGTGGAAAGAAAGGAATCGCAAAGCCTGGCACGAAAAATTGCCATTTCCAATGGCTACGAAGTAGAAGCCACTCGGGTTAGAGGAAAACGTTGGGTAGTTTCCCAAAATAATGTGTCGGACGTAAGTAAGATCCCTTTTAAGCTACCCTTCATATCAAATGAAGTAAGTCACGCCTTTAAAAAGTGCTTAAGAAAGAGTGGTCTTGAAAATTATGTGGTTTATTATTGATCTCCTACCAATACTCTACGCCGCCAGTTAGTTCGAAACCGTCTCTATGATCGTTTGTGCAGCTCAGAAAACTGTATGATCTGTCCTAACGGGAGAGACGGGGATTGCATGAGTTTAGGTATAATATACTTGATCTCATGTAATGCATGCGGCAAGGAATATATCGGGGAAACGGGTAGACCACTTTGTGTCCGCATAAAAGAACATCTACATGGGAAAGCTAAAATCCGTTTAAACACCCTCTAGGTACGCATAGGGCACACAAGCACAACGGCGATGGTTTTGAAGTGAATGTGCGGATCCTAGCGCAGGAATCGAAAACATCAACGCCCAAAACTCTAGAGGCGTTCTGGATAGATTTCAAAATCCAAAGATGAACCGGAAGGACGAATGCCTCACTATCACGCATGACCTGGCGCCCTATTTCAAAATAATATTTTGACCCCGGGGGGGTGTCTTACTCGCGACTCCACGTGAACCACGTGTGGGCCAGTCCCGCACGTAACATCACGGTGAGTGGCCTTTCTGTTCAATATGGCGTCTATTTGAAAGCTTGATCTTGATTAACACTTTAACCTTTCTTTTCCACCGAATAATAAGAACATTCTAGAACAATATTAAATACGTCCAGACTCTGAGGAAGGCGAAGTGGCCGAAACGTCAGCCATCGATCAATAACATCAAAAACAACGACAACGACAACGAAAATCTGTACCAATCTCGCGTCAGCTTAAGAAGATCAGTTTATAAGATCACATAAATAAATATATCAACTATCTATGCCGAGGTTTATAGAAAGTCGGTCATTCGAGATTGGGTGATAGTTGTCGATATCGTGTAGGTCACCCTTCCTGAGAAATAACACGGTCTTGCTGGTCCTCCATTGAGCAGGGACCTTCAGACAGGTAACGTGTGAAGAACCGAGCCAGTGTGCTTACTAGGACTGACGGAAGGTTTTTCAGGTGTTTTGGTCTTATCCTGTTCGGACCTGGTGCTGCTCGATTTTTCACAACCGAAATGGCATGTCGGATTTCGGAAGGGAGAACCGGTGGTGCAATATGTCCATCCTCGTTTATTTCATATGAGGGAAGGTGGACGTGGTTATCGAAGAGATCTGAGTAGTATTCGTGAATGGTTTTCTCCATTGCCTTTTTGGACGCTGTAACTGTTCCGTCTGGGTGTCGGAGTGCAATCACCTTGGTTTTGTAATTGGAGAATTCGGTAGGCTTTGCTAATGCTTTTGCGGCCTCAGCAGCTTCGACCAGCACTGCTGCTTTTCTTTCTTTAAGATCTTCTTTTGTCGCTTGTCTGCATTGTTTTGCAAGTTCAGACGTTACTTTGCGGTTGCACGCAGCTCGTGCGATTCCACGCTGGCGTATCAGCTCGAGTGTTTCTGGAGACAGACGTTTCTTGGACCTGGGGACTTTAGAACTCTCAGCTTTCACAGCGCCAATATGAAGATGTTGAATGAGCCGATCGTATTCTTCGTCGATGTTATCGACAACGGCATCTTCACAACAGGAGTATTTCTCTACAAGATTTCGAATGCTCACATCCCAAGTATCATGAGGCCCTTTAGCAGCCCAGGCTTTGTGTCAGGACATGGCGTGTTTTGAAATACAACTGCAACAGAAGACGTTAAGCTTAAAACTTTAACATCCACACCAGATGTGGAAAAAAAGTGGGTCGATCATACAGTGTGAACAGAATAGTCGAAGACAGAACTTCGCCAAAGAGAACCACACGAGGATATAAGCGTCCTCACAATCAAAAAGTGAATTTCTCAAGTTGCTGTAGGAAATCCGACCCTCAAATCTCTGAATATCGAGAAACCTGAATGAAAATAATGCGTAGCCTTTTATCTACCGCCCTTAATTTTTTCATGGCAAGGTATTATTTGAAATACAACCACAATGATGCTGAGATATTTGCAAACCCATGACCTAGTATAGAATCGAACACGCGACTATCCTTTCCAGTAGCTCACATCTAACCCACTGCACCACTGCGACTCTTAATTTGACTTTCTCTCCGCCTGTTTTTGCTCTAATGGCATCACCAGCTGTCAACGGAGTGGTCTGGGGAACACCAATTGGCATTGAACCCAGTTAAGATGAGGCTGTAGTTGAAATCGCAATGTATAACTTTCAATTACTTCTTTTCAGCAAACACGAGGTGTTTTCTTTATTCCTTTATTTACGTACAAACTGACGTTTCGGCGGATTTCGTCTTCCTCAGAGCCTGGAACAGTCAAGTTGACTACAATGTACACGGCCAAACACCTCCATAACCAAACAGAAAATGCTGAACCAAAATTTCAATCACATTGAACACAGCATAGCTTCTTTGCACACTTTTTATAACTCTTCCACTGAGTATGTCGCGTGAAGACCAAGCGCACAGAATTCACATGGAAGCGTAATGTGCCCCTCACATCAGAATAACATGTTTGTATACTGTCCAATATCACGTGTGATAATGAGGCATTCTTCCCTGCCGTTCATTTTCGGACTCTTGGAATTAATCTAGAACGCCTCGAGAGCTTTGCGCGACGATCGTGACACGTACTTCAAAGTCCTCCCCGTTATGTCTCTATGCGTGCCTAGCAGGATATTTGGTAGTTTTAATTCGAATTATTCAATCAGTGCCGAGGTTAATAGAAAGTTGGACGTGGGAGTATAACTTTTATTTACTGCCGAATCTGGCCTGGGGTCTGAGTTTTGCAAATGTCTCAGCATCAATATGTATTCTTTCTTGATAAGCTTGCACGAGGTTGATAAATATATTTATTTTCGGCTAACGTTTCGACGTCTTCGTCTTCCTCAGAGCCGGTGATCCGAGTCGATGGTCCATGCTTGTTGTTCGCCTCGACGCTGCGTCTTCGCCTTCGTGTCGAGCCAGATCTTCCTCGGTGATCCATCTTCTCGAATGAGGCATCTTCACTCAGTGATGCCCTTTTATACACGATGTTGATGGTGGATATATAATGACAATGTCCAGTGGTAACAACTTGTATTTCTTCCGGACATACATCATTACGCACATCGTGCAGAGGTCGGTGTATTATCAGCTAGCACAAAGCGTAGTAATATTTCGAAACCGACCTTCCCTAAACCTCGGTGTGACTAATCAATATGT